AGTGGAGCCTGAGTGGTGGGTGTTGCCTTCTGACACGCTTCCAGTGATGTCGGGGGGGTGTGGCATATGCAAATGAGGTATGCTAATGAGTTATGCTAATGAGCTCCTGCACCTCTTTTTCTGCGAAATGACCCCTGGCGATGGGAAAGACCTCTGCCTGAGACCCTGGGGAGCTGCTGCCAGTCTGTGTTGACAGTCCTGACCGTGGTGGACCAAAGGTCTGACTCAGCAGAAGGCAGCTTCATGTGTTCACTGAACTTTCTCTTTGACTCCTCCAGAAGGGGAACGTCTTCCTTGTGGATTACAAGCTCCTCCAGGGCATCCCAACCAACACCATCCAAGGCCAGCGGCAGTATATGGCCGTCCCCCTCTGCCTGCTGTACCAGGCGCCTTCCGGGGACCTCATGCCTCTCGCGATCCAGGTAACCAGGAGCCGGGCGGGAAGAGGGGCTCCAGTTCTGCTGATTAATTAATGCTGTGCGCATATTCGTGGCGTCAACAGGCCGCCTCTCCGGAGACCTACTCCGAGAGCCTCTCAGGTCACAAGCCAAGAATAATCGATTGTTATTTTATTATCCATTGTATTAGCGAATGGAAATTATTAATTGTAATTCATTTACGAATCGTAATCGTGTCCCACCGAGTCACAACTGACTTATGGCGGCAACCCCTCATGGGGTGTTCAAGGCAAGGGATGCTCAGAGGTGGCTGGCCATCGCCTGCCTCTACCTAGCAACCCCAGATTTTCCGGGGGGTCTGTCGTCCAAGGACTAACCCGGGCTGATCCTGCTTAGCTTCCAGAATCTGACCAGATCAGGCTAGTCTGGTCATGGCAGTGATTAAGTGCCCCCAAGTCACTCACAACTGATTTAGGTTGACAGTTTTTAAGGCCAGAAATGAACAGAGGTGGTTTGCCATGGCCTTCCCTCCAAGTACTGATCCAATGCTCCCTCTGAGCTGTGGAGTCTTAGGGAACACTGGCACTGACCCTTCTTAGCTTCCAGGTCCTGATGAGATCAGGGTAGCCTGGGCTATCCAGGCTGCTCTCGAGTAGCAACAATACCATGAGACTGTGACCTCCAAAGCATAGATTATCAATATTAAGAAGAAGCCACGCCCCCCAAAAATTTAATTAAAACCAGGGGTCATTTCCTGCAGGAGCGCACGGGAGCGGAGCTCCGGCAGTAAAGAGCCCAGGGGGCGGGCACAGGCAACAAGCCCCACCCCCTGCTCCCAGCAGCCCTCAGTCAGAGCAAGAAGCAGCCAGGTAAGTTGCAGAGCCCCCCCCCGGCCCCCCGGTCCAAAACAGTCCAGTGGCAGCTTTAAGACCTAGTTTTATTCAGGTGTACAAGCTCTCCCTCCTCTGCGAGGACAGATCTGCACTCTCCCCCCCCAAAACACACCACACCCACAA